GGAGGAAGAGGGCAGGTAAAGGTACACCTGTCGGGTTTGTCGACAAGGCAGTCAGGGTTTTAAGTTTTAGATCTGGCTTCATGTTCAGGAAGGGCTTTGAGGCCCAGGAGGGGAGGTGCTGAGAAGGAGCACTTAACTTTTTTTCCGCTGGGAGCCACCTTTCAACACCTCTTCTTTCAGGTTTTGCCTAATGAGGTGGCAACACTTGGAGATGCCTTACTTTTCAGTCTTGTTGTTTCCTCTGTCTTTCACTGTGAAAGAACCTCTCCTGTCCCTGGTGGGTTTGAGGGAAGGGAGGGTCCCTCAGAACGCCCCCTCCCCCCGTTAGTATTGGTGTTTTGAGTGTGAGCTGAGAGACCAGGAAAGCTTTCACTGGGAGGTTAGCCCAGGGCTTTGTCATCAGACTGGCTTCTGGTTCTGGCCCTGCTCTTTATTAGTTGGGGAAAGTTTCTTAACTTATCTGATATTCAGTTTTCTCATTCACAAAAGGAGTGTCATTCACTGTAGACCTACTGTGATGACGGTGCATGAACAGCCCTCGGGCGCAGTGCCTTGCATTAAGAGATGCTCCATTACTGTTAACTGGCATTAGTATAATCTTATATAATTTCAACAAAGCTCCAAACTGTGGTTTATCGGCCTTTTCCCAAAGAAGATCCTGAATTTCAGATATGGGGGACAATGAGACTGATGAGATCAGCCAGTGAAATCCCTTGGTTGAAGCTTGGGGGATGGAGTGACCTGGACACTGGCTACGTAGACCCAGAGGCAGGAGCCATCTAGACCCTGAATGGCCTCAAGGGGCCGCAGCCCAAGCCCAGATGAAAGAGAAGGGAAGGGAAATATCGCCCGTGACTCTCCCATAGCACCTGCCGTCTGTCTCATCAGAGTCCTGATTGGTTGGCTGTCTTGACCCTTCTGCAGTAAGGGGTTTGTCAACCAAGACTTTCCAACAATTAGTTGATAGGTTCGGGCTCCTCCTGGTAGAAGAAATGGAGAGGGGCCCTGAGCACAGGCCAGCGTCAAACTCCCCGTTGGCTCCAAGAGGCATAATTCGGATCCCTGGGTGGCGCTGGCCCAAGACAAACAGAGACGCACAGGCACACTAACAGGCGGGGAGCTCACACTGGGCTGGAAAGGAGAGGTTTTCCTTTGGTCTTGCTTTGTTTGATTCCCGTTTCCTGTTTTGTTAGCAGGACACCAAGTTCTATACATCCACAGCCTCCCGCCTGCCGCAGGCACTGCTCGTGCCCGGACTCTATCTTCCACCCGGTTTGCGGAGACAATGGGGTTGAGTACCTCTCCCCTTGCCATGCCGGCTGCAGCTACATCAATGTCACCTCGATAGCCACCAAGCAGGCGGTAAGGGCCGGGGCAGTGTGTGTCCTCGCAGCCTGCTCCTCCGGGGATGGGCGGGGCTCCACCCAACTCATTCCCAGCATCCTGGACACACCCATCTTCTCTCCACCTCCCTCCTTTAAGGTCATGACCAGATTCCTACAGCCCAAAGTCAATTAACAATTGGCCGATGTCCAACAAATTCACATTCCTGAGGCCCAACAGTGCTCAGAGCAGAAATGAGCCAGAGCACTCCTTCCGCGGAGGCCTGCCAGTCTCACCCTGACGGGTGCTAGTGGGCTTGTCGCAGTCCTGCGCCCTGGCCGTGCTGCAGAGCCACATGGGTGGGCCCAGATAAATAAAGGGCAGAAGACCTCTGCAATGTGGCCCCGGATGGTTAGAGCTGGCAGTAGTGACGGAGGGCATTTGGTTCCACCCCTCCTGACACTCCACAGCTGACCTGAAGTCTACAGCTGTTCAGGGGCAAATCTGGGACTAGAACCCAGGGCCCTGCCTCAGCCTGGGGCACATCTGTTCAAGATCAGGTATCTCCCAGCCACCAGCCTTCTGCTCACACAACCCACATTCACCGCGCTCACTTGGCAAGGTCCTGGCCAGCCTTCTGAGCACTGCAGCTCCCGGCCTTCTGGGATCAGCCAGCAGCAAGCCAATTCAAGTTGTTCAACAAATACTTAGCGAACACCAGACACAGCCACGGTGCTGAGGATTCAGCAGGGAACCCACCAGACCAGGTTCCTGCCCTCACGAGTTTGCATTCTACCAAATAAATGCACAAGGGAAATTTAGAAAGTAACCCATCCCATGAAGAGACTTAATCGGACTGAGAGTGCCTGGGGGCCTTCCTGAGGAGGTGACTTTAAGAACTGAACAACCAAGAGAAGACAATGTTATGAATACCTGGGAGTAAAGTGTTCCAGGTGCAGGAAGGGCAAGCACAAGGCCCCAGGGTGTGAATGAGCTGGTGTAGAAGAGAGAGAAGGCCAGGGCTGGTGCGGAGTAAGGGGCAGTGGCGAGAGTGCTCTGACCAGGGAACAGGCAGGGGCCAGAGCCCGGGAGGCCAGGCTTAGGACTTGGGTGTCCTTTTCCTATGAGCACTGGGAAGTCTGTCCTCCCTGAGGATGCCCCAAGGAGAGGACCGAGTCTTATTCCTTTAAGCCTGTGTGGAGGGCAGGGGCAAGGCTAGCCCATCCACAGGCAAGGATTACTATCCTCCTCTGAGAGGACAGGGCAAGGCTGCATCCACAGCCACCCATGTGGCTGAGGAGCATGGTTCTTGGCAGCAGGAGGCCAGAGAACTGGGACAGGATGCTCTCTCGACTGCCTCCTTGCCGGAGGAGTCTGTGGTGGCTTTTGTGGTTTTCTTATCTTTATTTACTTACCTCTGACTCATCTACTTCCAGAAATAATCTTGACAAGTTTCCAATAACAGCACAAGCACATCAGGACCAAAACCCATTAGCATCATATCAAGAAAAAAAAATTGCAAATTATAAGGAAAAATATTGATGTTTAAAAAAATCCAGACTGAGGGAAGTAGCAGCAACAGTGTAGATAACTTAATTCTGAGCTTCCCAGCAGCCAAAGTAAAGAGGGTATGTAGTTCCAATGTCTGATAGAAGGAAGCATACCAGCTCGTTAGCTCCAATCTTGGCTCTATAACTGCTTTGACACTTAAATAGTCATAGGCTGGTCCATCAGACACTGTGAGAGGGAAGTTGAGGCCATTTGACACTGGCAGTGGCTGCCAAGAGAAGTGAGACTTGCAGACTAGAGACAGAATCTTTTACAGATAGGAGGAATTCCTCTCAGGCAGGAAGCTCAGTGGATTCCACTGTGTTCCCACTGCTATCTCCTCTTGTTTTTATCTTCCTAACCACCCCTGCAGTAAACACACAACAGCTAAAACAACAACCCACAAAACCACAACTGCTGGGCACAGAATGGCCTGACCCAGAGGAAAGCCTTCCCAGCTCCCGGTCCCTACCTGGGTGGGCCTCACCTTGTGGTGGAATCCTGTGTATCCTTGTGGGTGGAACTGCGGGAGGAGCCCAGCCCACCCTGGTCAACTGCTTTTAGTGAAGACAATTTCTGTTGCCCAAACAGTGGTCAGACGTGGGCTCCATTGGGCACCTGAAACTCTCACCTAGTCTCTCCAGCCTCTGCATCCAGCATCACCAGGGAAGAGGGGCGAGAAGGCATTTGAAGTGTGTGGAGGCAAAACAGTAACAGCAGGTTTCCCGTTTCCCTCCCTCTCCCTTCAAGACCTACTTGAACTGCAGCTGCGTGAGCGGAGGATCGGCTTCAGCAAAGACCGGCCCGTGCCCCATCCCCTGTTCCCACTTCCTGCTCCCGACCATCTTCCTCATCTCCTTTGTGGCCCTCATAGCCTGCATCTCTCACAACCCCCTCTACATGATGGTTCTGCGGTGAGTGTGCCTCTCCTTCCCCGTGCTTCCCTCACTTTGTATGTACCCAGCTGCCCCCATCTCGGCTCTCCTGGCCCTCAGAGTCCTCCGGACACGGATGTGTGATGGTCTTGGGGTGATACAGGGAGATAATGCTGATGCAGCGGTGCCAGGGGCCCGTGTGGCATCCCTCACTGCAGCCTCACTCGTCTCACGGCGTCCACGCACCTCCGTCCTGCACGTGGAGGGACCACACCAGGCTACCTGGCTCCACACTGTGGACTCGCCTGTAGATTCACTTATCTTTAAGTCCTAAAAGAACTGAGAGGAGGGAGGAGAATTTCAGTTGGATGCACAAAATCAAGGGAGGAAAATGGGGAAGGTTCTAGAGGCAGAATGATGACTATGGGAAAGGATGCAAATGAGGAAAGTCCAGTGTGCTAGGAGCCAGGTCAGAAGGGCGGGGCTGGCCAGGCGGGAGGTGGAGGAGGGCAGAGGTGTCCCTGAGGTTTGGACAGTGAATGACCCTCCCTTCACCTCACACTCTGTGAAGGAGAAAATAACATTTCAACCAAGTTTGCATACTCACCTCCTGCTCGCCTCCCTCCTGTCCTCTCCTGCCTCACACGCACACAGAGAGGGAGAACCACAGGATTTGGAAGCCCAGGGCCAGGGTCAAAGGCCCAGCTCTATCCTACACTGGTGGAATGTCCTTGGGTGTTGCCAGCCTCGCTGGGTCTCAGTTTCCTTATTTATGAAAGTGGGTTAATGATATTGACCTCAAAAGATGGGTGTGAGGGTTTATATGGTAAAATGGTTTGTAAATACAAGGTACTCTGCATATTGATTGTCATTATTATTAGTATTATTAGCTAGCTAAGTAGCAATGCCCTATTTCCCAGAAGACTAGTAGATGAGGAGGGTCTGGGATTTTACCCTGTTTACAAGTTAGCTTGCAAACTACCAAGCTCCTGTTTCTGTTACTGCTTCACAAGGATGCTGGCAGAAGCCAGGAGACTCCTGGGTCAAAGGCGAAGGACTTTGTTGCTCACAGCACAGCAAACAGCGTGAACCCCCTATTGCATCGTTTATCTGTGCCCCACCAAGTCCTGCTGGGTGACATGGAGGGGCCCAGGTGTATGTCTCACCTGCAGTGGGTTAGGTCACAGCTGAGGAACACCGAGCCTGGGAGAGCCACAGCTAGTACAGAGCAAGCTTGCGCCTGGTCTAGGGGAAGATTTTGTCCTCAGGCCTCGAGGTTGCTCCTTGCAACCACGACCCTGAGAAGCGGCCCAGGAAGCGAGCAGTCAGACCCTGCATTCTTAGCATACTCTGCAAGACCGCCTAGGATGCTCAGAGCCCAGGGCGTATTCCTCTCCCAGCACCGCCTCAGCCTCTCCTCTGCTGCCCCCACCCGCGCATTCCAAGTACCTGCACCTTCACCCAAGGCCCCTGTGGGGCTCCCTTCTGGCACCCGGCGTCAGATGGACCATGGTGGACCCAGGAATCCTTAGAAAGGTGTGTGGGTGGCCATGACGAGGAGCGGGAATAGGAGAAAGAGATTTCATAAGGAAATCCCTGAGCAGCGAGGCTGAGGTGGGGGGGTGCGTCAGATCACTTCCCCAAGGACGCTCAAGCCCCAGTGGTGGGGAAGGAGGGAGGGAGAGCACAGGACGGGCTTTTCTGGAAAACCTCTCCCTGCCAAGTCTGGTCAGGGGCTGGACTGAATCTGGAGAAGAGGCCCCAGGATCCCAAAATGGTTTAAAGATAAATCCCTCTGAGAAAGAGGAAAGAGTGGATGCTGTGTAATGTGGAGAAGCTGAGGTTTAAAGATGACTTTGTCGGTGCCCAGAGCCTCCTTTGTGTCCATCCTGGCCCCCGGCCAGGCACAGAAATACAGGCTGGGAGTGAAGGTTTGCCGGAAACATGTCAGGAGAGGGGGTGGTCAGCGGGCCAGTGTTAATTCAGGGCTGAAGGGGCAGAGACCAGGAGGGGCTCAAGATCTCCATCAGAACCAAATAGACGTTCCCGAGTCTCACTTGATTGAGAACGCAGGGAGTCTGCCTGGGGTTAAGGACCACGACACGGAAGGTCTGCTGTGGACTGGGCCAAAGGAGGGGTCTGTGAGCAGTAAAGAGCGCGTCCATTAGATTGAGATCTGAGGTGCTTTCCACTGGGGGGATCCCAGCAGGTACCTCTCCCCTGCTCCACCCGAGTGGGCATTCTGAGAAACTGAAAGAGGGTCCCTTTCCCGTTTGCTAGCAGAACTATGGAAGTAACACGAAACCCACACCGAGATCTGGGGGTTACTTCTGAGTTTCCCTCCTTACTGTCACCTCAGCCCCAGATGCTTTCCCCCAACCAGTGGTTCCCAGACCTGAGTGTGCACAGACTCTCCCGGAGGGCCCCTCGCGACACAGACTGCCGGGCCCCCCGCCAGAGTGTCGGATTCGTCCTCTGAGGCAAGGCCTGAGAATGTTCATCTCCAACACGTTCCCAGGGATGCAGATGTGGCTGGTCCAGCCATCCTGCTCTCAGAATCTCTGAAACCAAAAACAGAAGCGCTGGCCAAGGGGAAGTCAGACAGGCCATGCGAGGGCAGGTTCTGACGGAGGGAAGGCACAGCCCTGGGTCCTCCTGCTGCTGATTGCCTGTTTTCCTTGGCAGCGTGGTGAACCAGGAGGAGAAGTCATTTGCCATTGGGGTGCAGTTCTTGCTGATGCGTCTGCTGGGTAAGTGTTGCAGACGCGCCCTTCCTGACGAGTGACCCCAGGTGAAGGGAAATCGGAGGGCTGTGTGGTGCAGGACGCGGATGGGGAGAAGCCCCATCTCATCTCTGTTGTAAAGAGAAGCTGTACCAATGCAACAGCAAATGCCAAACCCCGTATGGGTGGTTTCCCTGTCATTTGAGGTTAGGAAAGATTCCATCTCAGACATTAATTCCAAACTAAATTATGTAAGAAAAAGGAAAAGTGGACACAGTGGAGAATGTCTAAGAGCACGCTGAAGGCAGGTATTTTTTCATCTCTCTCCAAGAATTCGCTGTAGGAATAAAAACCTCGTGTTCCTGTCCCAGCCAGAACAGCTGCAGAGCCCTGCCCTGGCTTCCCTTCCATTTTACAAAACCCACTCCTCCCACCTCAATTCAGCAAAGCGGGGACCTCTGCCGGCAACCCTGCCTGCTCTCCAGCAGCCTGGAGCCCACGGAGGAAGGGTGCTGTGCACGTGAAAGGGAGTGTGAGCTGAGTGCGGGGTCCCCTCCCTGGGAGTGGGGACACTGCGGGCCTTTCCCAGATGGCTCGTGCTAGACTGTCCCTTTTAGACACTTACAAGCACCAGATTAAACACAGCACACTAACGTGGAGACCCCTGCAGTGACAGGTACTCAAAGTAAAGGGACTGGACACATTTATTAAAGACCCGGGGGCCCACATGGCTGTGGGGAGTCTGGTGGCTGCAGTGGAGGGACTTCTGTAGCGGTCACAGTGCACTTTCTGACCTTGAACGCTGAAATCCCTGTAGAGCCCACAGTCTGGTCTGCACTTGACCCCGCAGCGGCTTCCGGGATCGCTCTGGGGAGACGTCTCTCCTGGGGCCTGCTGCACGCAAGCCCTAGGGGGCCCTCTCCAACCAAGGTTGTGCAAGGTGTTGGGTGAGGCGTGAACCAGCTTTTTCAGTGGTTGAACATTTCTCTGGACTTTATTTCTATTCAGGGAACATCATTCAGGAAGGTCAGTTCTTGTGGCCAGTTTCTACCCCTAATTAACCTGGAGACTCAGGAATCAGCAGGGTCTGAGAAGAGAGGCTGGTTCTTGAAGGTTCTCATTTCCGGATGGAGCCGCAGCAGAAGACTGTCTCTTCCTTTCCTCTAAAGCAGCATCTCCCAGGGTCCTAAACAGAATCAGGGAGGCTGTTCTCAGCACAGTGGTTCTGAGAATGAGGTGGCCTGGGCTGGGAGTGGATCCAGCCAAGCCGCTCCCCAGTCCAGGGTCTGCCCAGAACTGTGGCTAAGGATGCAGGGGCTGGCGTGAATATTTGGCAGCTGTAGGGCCTGGGTCTCACCTCTCAGCAGTGTGGAAGTTCAGGGGGCCTGGGGCAGAGGCTCTGAGCAGCCAGGGTCTTCGGAGGATGTTGTCTAAGCCAGCAGGGCAGCTTGGCCTAGTGGAAGAACGTAGGACTCAAACTTCCAAAAACAAGAGTTCAAAGTCCAGCCCTGATCCCGCCCCACTATGCCGTGGTGAGCTGGCCGAGCCCACCTTTCTCCCTGTTAAAATGAGGGCGCCCACCCACCTCCCGGCTGCTGGGAGGCCTTAAGGACTCGTGCCCTCAAGAGCCTCCTGCCACCCTGTGGAGCCCAGCACGGCTCCACTTGGGCCGATTCCAAGTAGGGGAACTGTGTCATTTGTCTGAGCTGGCGCACGGTGACATCTGTGACCCACACGGCCCTGAAAGGATGGCTCGGGTCTCTTTTCTCTCCTAAGACTCAAGTGAGAGAGTAATTCAGGCTTCACGGAAAGCTATTGTGCTTTGCAAAGTTGCTGTGGATCCTGGGGTGGGGCAGAGCTGCCCTCATGCATGTGAGCCGTGCAGGGGCGCCGAGGGATGCGGGTGGGGCTCGCCGACAGCAGCACCGCGTGACCTGGACTCTCTGAACTCTCTTCCCGCTGGGGCCAGCCTGGCTGCCGTCTCCAGCCCTCTATGGCCTCACCATCGACTACTCCTGCATCCGGTGGAGCTCACAGTGCTCAGGGAGGCGAGGGGCCTGCGCCTACTACGACAACGATGCTCTCCGAGACAGGTGAGGGCCCCGCGTGCCCAGGCCAGGCCCCAGGCCCGAGCTGAGGGCAGTCGTCTGCTCTAGCAGTTGTGGAGCTGTCAGGCCTCTGACTGGGAGGACCAGAGGGGTGCTGCCATGGGCAGGGAGCGGGGGCCACCAGTGACACGCATTTTGGGGCTCACAGAGAGTCGTCCAAGAAACAAGCCCCAGGGGCTGCTCCGATGTGGCCCCCTGTCTGCGATCCCCCCTGGCTCTTGGGAGGGACAGCAGCAGAAAGAGTTTTGTCAAAGGGACAGAGGGTGGTTAGAGCCCGAGGGAGAAGCCATGGCTGTGCAGTGGTGATGCCAGGCCAGCCTCCTGCTGCTCAGAAAGAGGTGGCCCATCCTGGCTCCTGGCAGAGGCCAAGGGCAGGTGGGTCCAACCTGCCTCAGGTGTCCGAGCCCAGCTGCAGCGCCCCTGAGTTCTGCACCCCTTCTGGCCACCTCACCTGCTGCCTCATGCAGACAGAAGCAGCGAGGTAGGGGGTGGGGTATAGCTCAATTGTAGAGCATGTGCTTAGCATGCACAAGGCCCTGGGTTCAATTCCCAGTACCTCCATTAATTAATTAATTAATTAACGAACAAACAAACCTAATTACCTCCCCCTCAAAAAACTTTAAACAAAAACATGAAAACAAACAAACAAAAAGCAACCGTGGGGAGAGTGGGCTCGAGGGGCTGGATGGGATCTGGAAGCGCTGTGGGAGTGGCATAGAAGGCCGGGAGAGGGTCGGCCGAGCAGGCAGCGGGAAGCTACCCTCTCCTTCTGGCTCTGCTGGGAAGTTGGGACCCTGCAGGCTGGCTGAGGCCGCAGTGTTGCCTCTGGCCCTCTGGGGGGTGCCAGGGCAGGGATGAGGAGCACTGGGTGCTCCATGTCTACTCCCCGCCCAGTCCCTGGGAGGCTCCTACCCTTGAGGATTAAAGCAATGAGGAAAGCTGTCCCCACCGGGTCCCCACCTGGTCCCCACCTGGTCCCCACCTGGCTGGGGTCGGGTCCTTACCTGGGTGGTGACGACACACTGTCTAGGCCACTGTGACAATGATGCCGCTCTTCCTGGTGGCCCTGGCCCTGGGACGCGGGCCCTAGGGCCTCCACACCCCTCAGCGGTCCCGTCTCCTGCCCCCAGGTACCTGGGCCTGCAGGTGGGCTACAAGGCCCTGGGCACACTGCTGCTCCTCTTCATCAGCTGGCGGGTGAAGAAGAACAAGGAGTACAACGTGCAGGACAAGGCCGCCGGCCTCATCTGACCGTGACCTCGGCCCGCGCCCTGCTCGCGGGAGCGGACCCTGCCCCACACCTGCCTATATTACTAATGTTAACATGGCGTCTCCTTTTTGTTCCCTAAATAAGAAAGAAAACCCCATTGCCATTTTCCCTCCCTGTCCCCTCCTCCCAAAGCCCCCGACCCCTAGGGTCCCTTAGGGCTGCTGTGCACCTGGGCCCGGTGGGCACAGAGCTGGAGGGCTGGGTCTTCCCTGGCTCGTTGGGCAGGGCCCCCAGAGGCCCAGGCTCACTCTGCCCGACGGGGATGCTCACTGAGGCAGCTCTGTCCCCCACCAGCCCCTGCAGGGGGAGACCTGGGTCTCCCCCTACGTGGGGAGACCTCTGGGTCTCTGCCCAGAGGAAGAAGTGAGGGGCTGAGTTATCACTGGCCCGAACCAGCCTAGGGGTGGCCTGGCTCAGCCGCCTCTGCATCTGGGTTTAGCACCAGCACAGGCCCCAGGAGGGGCTGGCTCCCTTCCCCTCAGATGCTCGCTCCCTGCCCCAAGAGGCCACTTTGGGAACTGCCAGGTTGGAAAGTGTGGCCAGCCAGCTGCTCCCTCTTCCACCTACACTCAGGCACCAGAACTGGGACTAAGACACCCCGAGAATGGGTCATCCAAGTGCTGTTCCCATGAACTCTCGACCCTGCCGTGCGCGGCTCTGCGCACATTTATTCCGGGGGTACTTCTCAAACTGGGAAAGCCACATCCTGGGGAAGCCGAGGCAGGCTGTGGGTGGCCATGATGCCACCCCTACCCCACGTGTGAAGACAAGACTCCTCCTCTCAAAGTGATGGGAAGACCCTCCCCAAGTTTCCTCGGGTGCAGACGACCGTGGCTTCACACCGGCTCCCCTGTCTGGACTTAGCCTGTGTGTTGTGGAGTAAAGAGGCGGTCAGAGATGTCAGCCAAACAAGTGCCAAAACCGAGAGGTTGTCAGAAGCTGCCAAGCTGGACGGCCAGCTGAGCCCAGAAAGGACAGGCCCCAGAAGGTGACTTCCCTGGTTCCCAACACGCCTGTTATAATCGTCAACATTTCTCAGCCTCTTCTCAACCCCCCAGGGCAGAGAGGCACTGCTGCTGTGGGGTGGAGGTTCAGAGTTAGAAGGCAACAAAGGAGGCCTTTCATCCACAAATATTTTATTTATTGGAGACTGACTTTTGTATAAGGCAGCGCTAGTGTGTGGTTCTCCCCTGAGCTTCCCTGTGGTCTCGCCTTCCCGCCCTCCGTCTGTAGAGAGGGCTTGCTGGGCAACGCGGGAGATGCACAGCAGGAACCAGAGATGGACTGAGCCCACACCTGGCCTTCGGAGACAGAGAGCTGACTCACCCTGTCCCCTGGGGCAGCTGGCCGTTGGTCATGGTCACAGGCGGATGGAGCTGTTGAGTGCCTCTCCTTCTGGTCCCGAAGCCACTTCGGGAAGGGCCTCATATGGTAGAATGTCAACGGCCACTCTGCCATGGGACCAAAGTCTTTGTGAAAGCCACTGCTACAGACAACCTGATTCCAAAGCCACCAGCTCTGTTTCCTAAGCTCTCACTCAGGAAGGGAGGCTCCATGCAACCTCAGGGGGCCAGTGTCAGCCTTTCAAACGGTCCTGCTTGGAAAATGATTCCCTGCGACTAACCCTGGTCCTTCTCGCTGCAATTTAACCAAATTCTGAAGGCGCTGCCTTCAGCTGAGCTCATCAACAGAGAATGCCAACCTTTAGATTCTGGAAGATGGTTGTCCTCTCAAGCCTTTATTCTATTATGATATTGCTATTAATATATTATAATTTTGCTACTGATGTAACTTGGTCATGAATTTGCACTGTCATGTATATCTGTCAGAGAGCCGACAGAACTTGTGCCTTCTGGCCAGAGGGGATGCCCTGACACAACCCTCAGGGGCCCACGGCCGGGGGGATGGGCGGTAACACAACTCAACCCATCAGCCTGGTACAGAGCAGGCGGCAGACACCTCTTGTTCCGTCAGTGAATCCCTGCAGGGGACTGTCAGATGCCCACGGTGCCGGGCTCTGGGGGGGCCTGATCCCTGCCCTTGAGTTTCTGTGCAGAAGTGGGGTTGGACACGAACAGCTAAGTCCACGATACAGAACAGAACTAATGTCATAATCATCACCGATCACTTGGTCACAGTCAGTCCTGCTGTTTCCGCAGCAAATCTTTCCAACTGCCAACAGGGACCGTAACACTCACCTTCATTTCACGTCTGGAGCAGAGCTTAACAAGCCTCCTTGAGCGTCAGACTCTCATAGAGGGTGTTGTTAAAGCAGGCTCCCAGCCCTCTCCACCCAGCTCCAGGGCTATTTATTTAGGTCTGAGGGGGACCCAGGAGTGACACTTCTCACCGGCCCCTTGTGTGAGGCTGATGCGGGTGGTGGTCAAACCCAGCGTGGTGGGTCCCTCAGAGCGTCAGGGACGCCCACTTACGCTTAAGACCACCGAGACGTTGACACTCAGGAGGCCTTCGGTTAGCTCAGATGTGAGTGGAGGACAGGGTGAATCTAATCTGGGTGGCTGCCATCAGGGGCTTGTGGGCTCAGAAGACAGCACAAGAACTCACATTTATATTAGGTTCTCACCAGTCCTGAGAGGGGAATTCAAGCCTGGGAGTGCGAAAATGTGTCACAGTTAGTTCTTTAAATTGGTTGTGTCTGACTTCAAGCATTCATGCTGCTGGCTGCCTGGAAATTCAATATCCACCAGCCTTGGGCCTGGCTCCCAGAGCCATCCACAGGTCCTTGGATCCTGCCACCAGGGGTCTTTGGTCCTTTCCCAGTCTGAGGCCCCCTGTCAGCCCTGCTTCTCCCCAGAGCCTGGAAACCTTGCAGCGCCCGAGACTAGGGCCAGCTCCCTGGGCACACCCCAGCCATGCTCCCCGCCACGCCAGTCCTAGGAAGCCTGCCCTCTGCCTCACTCCCTCTCCCAGTCCCTCAAGGGATGAACAAAATGGAAGGAAAGGAAGAGTCTGCAGGAACCTTTTAATTGCATCCTTCCTTGACCTTTCTTGGCTCCAGATACAGAAAATGCAGTGATAATTAAACACCATGTTGTCATAAATTATCCTTTGGCCCAAAGCCCTCTGGAGTGATCCTTCCCATAGCCCCATGGTAGAGGCCAGACTGGTCTTCAGGCCCCAGTTGAAGATGAGGAATTTGCAATCAAGGAAGTAACCACTGGGGTCAACTCTGTGCAAATAACTGGCCAGACCTGGACTCAAACCAGGCTGTCCAGCCCTGTCTGTCTGCTCCAGCTCCAGCTTATACTGAAATTGGAGGCGGGTGGAAGTGCCTCTGTTCCCAAGGGAGTTCACTGGCCTGCCAGGGGCAGGTGGGGGCATCTACTGAGGGTGAAGGGAAGTGGGTGATGGAGGTGGAGAGAGCCAGGTAGTGTTTCACTTACCCACCTTCTATTCAGGTCACAACACAACATTACAACTGTTCATTAACCAAGGCAGCGTCAGCCCTATCGCACCCGGAGTCAAAAGAAAGTCACAGAGAAAAGGGACAAAGGAAAAAAAGGCCATCAGGAGAAAAGGCCCCCAGAGGGCTGCACACAGACAGACCTTCAAGGGGACACCTCCACCTGGTGACGGGTTAGCAGATCCTCGCTTGGCAGATTCTCACGAAGCCACATTGTGATTTTCTCCAACCGCCCTCAAAGATGGAGAGATACAGCTAAGTTTGGGGCTGGATCTAGTCAGTATCAAGTTGATATTAAAATATTATATTACAGATTCCCAGAGGAGTTGGCAGGTGCTGTGTGTGTGTGAAAGAAAGAAACGGGAGAAAAAACCCCAAAACAACAACCCAAAACCCCGTGAATCCAAGAGAAAAACCTTACCTTTTACAACCACAGGAACTACACACCTGGGAGAAGTGTCTACCTCCTGCTAATAGCACAGATTTCACTATAACCTTCCATCAGAGGTTAAATATGTGAACAGGTCGTGGGCAAGCCCTTGGCAAATCGTTACCGGAGAGAAAGTTTTTCTCCCATGACACACTCTGCCCGTTCGTCCACTCTCTGCTCCGTCCCCGCCCCTGCTGTGCTGTTGCCACACTGCACGGTGTCACCGCAGCCTGCTGGCGTCCCTGCCCCCCGGGCACCTGCTCCAACTCAATAACAGTGCACGGACCTTTACAGTTTGCAAAACCACCCATTCATTAAACAAATTCCTGTAACTGTAACTCAGCATAGGCTTGGCTGTGCTGTAGTAACAAACGTCATCCATCTGTCATGTGACATGACGGCAGTGCATGTCTGGCTCACCTAAAGTCTACTATGGGTCTGGGTGACTCTCCGGGACATGTGGTAGCTGAGTACCTTTATTTCATAACGTCCTGCCTCAGGTGATGGGGCAGGGCCAGGAAGTCCCCGCAGGTCTTGCACTGCTAAGGAAATGTTTTGGCCCAGAAGTAACATGCCTCGCCTGCACTCGGGGGCTGGCTCTAACGAAGCAGAGTGGAGTGGTGGCAGAGGGCGATGCAGGGTCAGGGAAGGGTTCTCCTGTGATGGTAGAGATGTGCTGGGGCAAAGAGCCACAGGATCGAGGAGGCTGAGGAGTCAAAGAGAAGGGCCCTGAGGAGGGGGTTGGTGAGCTGATCCCCAGTAGAGGAATCTCACCCAGATCTTCCCGCAGCCCCAGGGAGGCCGGTACAACTAGTCCTGTCCTACAGATGGGGAAAACAAAGGCTCTCTGAGTTGTCACTCGTGCCTCATTTATTCACTTAGTACCTGATGTCCATGAGGACAAAAGGGAACACACACCTGGTCCCTAACCTTCAAGGGCACATAATTAGGAGCAAGAATAAGACTTTAACAGAAGGCAAAGGCCAAGTGCTGCGAGCTCATTCAGAGAGGTCAGAGAAGCGGCTTGATCCTCGTCTTGCAGGATAGGCTAGATTCCAAGAGATTTCAAAGTGCAGGTGAAGACATTCCAGGCGTAGGTCAGGAAGCAAGGAAACCTGTGCCAGTTCTGAGAACTTGCTGGACACAGGATGTGTGAAGGAGAGCCAGGGTCATCTCTGGAGAGGTGGTCATGTCCTGGCTTAGAACTGGAGGGTCTTGAGGGCTGCCTTGCACCATGAGTGGT